CACTCTTCAAAATAAAAATGTGAGCTATGTTTCTACTCATTCTACACCCTCTTGACAAGTCTTGATGTGTGATCTTTATGGTGGAGGGCACAATTTGGGAGAATGCCTTAATGATGAAACAAATTCTCAATCTTCCGTGGAACATATTGATTTGGCGGGATACAATAGGCCACAATAATCTTTTCAACCTCAAGGGGCCTATAATCCTGATACCTCAAGGAATCACCCCAGTTTTTCTTGGAGCAATTCAATGGGGGCAGCAAATTCCCAAAATTTTATCAATAGAGGCCACTACCACCGGGATTTCAAGGGCAACAAAATTTTAGAGGAGTCCCACCACAACAATATGGACACAACCAAGGATTTCAAGGTATTCCTTCTCAACCAAGGCCGCCATTGCCTACTTTGGAAGCCCCACCTGTACCAAATTAGGAAGCTATGATGGACATGATGCTCAAATCCCAATTGCAAAGTGAAGAGAGATACAAGCAAATGTCTGAGAAATTGGATCAATTGAGTGCTCATAACAGATGTTGGAGAGACAAACACTAGTACAGAACTACAGATACACAACTGGTGTACAACAGTCGAGTATGTCATGATCGCGGAATGTTAGTAATACGCGGCCATTCTTGCCAAAGAATGGTCGTGTATTGTATTTTTTTTTTCTTTATTTTTGACTATCTGCGCCGGTTCTTTGTTCAGAACAGTCGCGTGTTCTTTTTTTTTTTTTTTTTTAAATAAAATAAATAAGGGTATTCGCCACCATTTTTAACAAAAAAAAGTGGCGGATACCCAAAATTAAAAAAAAAAAAAAAACAAATTCGACTAATTACAAATGAAAATATAATTACAAATAATAAATAAAATATTTAACATCATATTCTTCTAATTTTTCTGTATATATACTTATTACATCACAAATATTAAATAAGCATTACCAGTCTTTCTACTAACCAGCTCTTTGATAAAATCTATCACAAAAATACATAAAATTCTTCAATACCTCACAGATTAATAACAAGTATAAAATCTAATATTTCACCAAATCCTATGAGTATGCACATGTATCTAAGAACAAACCAAGAAAAAAAATAGTAAAACTACTATAATCTTACAAGCAATATAACAGTGTAAGATACACAACATCTATAACAAAAGACAACTAGTGTTAAGACTAGGGCTATTAACAAACCGAACATAAACGAACGCAGATTGTTCGTGTTCGTTTGTTAAGGTTTTTGGAGTGTTCATGTTCGTGTTCGTTTGTTAAAGGTTTTTGAAAATCTTGTTCGTGTTCGTTTGTTAAGCGTTCATTAGTGTTTGCTAACGTTCGCGAACATGTTCACGAACGTGTTCGTTAACATTAACGAACATGTTCGTTCACGTTCATAAACACGTTCGTGAATGCTTACTAACCAAACATATGAATATGTTCATGATCCTAATTCGTTTGTGAACAATAAATAATACTCCGTATATGTTAATGAAAAATAACCAAACAAGTAACACAACTACAAAGGGAATACAAACAAATATAAAATGAACACAAACGAGCTTGTTCACGAACACTAAACGAGCTTGTTCGCGAACATTATAACGAACACAAACGAACTTGTTCATGATCTCTTAGCAAACGAGCTTATAACTGTTTAGACTTTGTTCGTTATAAACCCAGCTCTAAATTTTGTTTGTTAATGTTCGTTTACCTTAATAAACGAACATAAACGAACGCTTACCGAACACGAATACGAGTAGTTTACCGAAAGCTCTGTTCGCTAACACCCCTAGTTAAGACCAAGACAACCCAACATATTCAAATGCTTCTGTTGTTAAGATGACTACTAATTAGACTAACATTACTTCGTAAGTATTGAGCTAATGGGAAAGCCTTTGCACAATAAAATCCAACCTGATCAAATAGCACTTTCATAAATAAATTAAGTACTTTAAATTATCAAGGCAAGGAACTATATAAATAGCAGTACTATCAAGGCAAGGAACTATATATTAAGTACTTATGTAAATACCCAAGTTCTAATAGCATCCAATGGTTGTTGTACAAGTATGAAATGGTGTATAGATAGCAGGCACCATTCAATGTTAATATAGGGGAGAGATGACCATCAGAAAAGGGATAGGTCCTTCCTTGTTCTCTGCCTTCCTTTCAGATCATTGTTTTTTGTGCTGTTAAGATTAACGATACCAAATGTTAGGCACAGCTAGGAGATCATCTCTAGAATCTATAATGCACATTTCATACAGAAAAAAATGTAACAATGCTATAAATTGGGACTTTCAAATTTTGAATGCACACATAATAAAATGTGAAATGAAATTTAGCTTAGATTCCCATAGCTCAGCAATATGCATATAATAAGATGTGAAATAAATTTCAGCTTAAGAGCTCCATTGCTCTATACTTGCAAGCTGCAAGAAGCATAGGGATGGTACCAGACATGACAAGACCAAAGCCAAACCCGGGGAAAATATAGCAGTTGTTAGCCTGTATGGAGAGTAAGGGAAAAGAGGTCAATAAACTCATTGAGCTAAAATGTGATTTTCACATAACAATGCATAACCTGGCCGGGTATGTTGAGTTTGCCATTACATTGCAATTCCTTCCAGTAGCATCCTCCATATCTTATCCCATTTTAATTTTCAAAATCATGTTGCTCTCAATTCCTCACTTCAACACTGCCATTCCAGTGGTCCACCAAGCAACCACACTGCCCATCAATTCAAGATCAGAGTCCTGACAGCTTAATGCATTCCCATTTTTATTTACAGCCCTGCACCTACAGCTTCAGGCTACTGCTGCTATGAGACTGTATTACAGCCTTCTCTATTCCAGAAGCCCTCCATTTCATAGCAGCCCAGAAAACAGAGCCAATATTACAGCTTCAGACCCTCAGCATCATGCAATTCTCATCAACCAAGCTAAATCCAAATCAACATTTTAACAGGTGTACATTAAATCTGATCACAAATGCTACTGCAGATCAATGGTTAATCCACTTGAGCTTCATTAATCAACATAAATCCCTTATACTCAGCTCTAATCAATTCATCTATCAAATCTCCATGTTATCTGCAAATTAAGCAGTAGCAGCCCCTCCCTCAAAAAGTTTGGAGCTGCTACTGCCCAGGTATCATTTCCCAAAGTGGGATCAACCTACTGAAAAACAATATATACAGAAATCCATATTCATCATGCAAAATCCATAATTTCCAGAAAATCAAACCAAAACACATGCTGCAGCTCACATGAAAAGCCAATAGCAGCAGTTGCCCTCCATTCTACTACCTCAGATTTCCACTGACTTCTCAAAATTCATATTCAACAACTAAAATCCCTTTTTATAGCTGAAAAAAGAGATTTCCAACCATTTACAGAGCCATCTGCACATCAACTTACCATCAAACCAAGCCCCCCTTCTGCAAATTAAGCCACAATTTCAACAAAGCATCATTATCAAAACAGATTCCCCTGCTACAAACTGATTTGCAGTACACAAATCAGAGTGCAACCTGGCCTGGCCTTCCTACTATAAGTCTCACTCTTCAGCCCAAATCCTAATTCTATTTCCAACAAGTACTTGATTTTCCTTCAGTATCTTCCCCAACTAACCCCCCTCCCACTCCTAAACAGGGCAAGTGTCAGGCATAAACCATCGGTTCATGGAAAAAAGTCTAGCACAATACAAGTAAAATAAAACACACATATTATTAATCATAAAAAAAAAAATTAAAAAAAAAATAAAAAAACAACAACAACAACGACGAACTTGCATAGGGAATTCTTGAAAAAGTTCTACCCAATTTCCAAGACTCAAAAGATGATGAGAGCAATCCAAAATTTCAAGCAATTGGCAAGTGAATTTCTAGCAGAGTCTTGGGAGAGATTTAAGGAGCTAAGAAGACAATGTCCACACCATGGCATCCAAAGTTGGGATTTGATGATGGCCTTCTATGAAGGTTTGCTTGACAGTTCAAGGGTTTTAGTTGATACTTCTTCCGGTGGATCCTTCATGGTCTTAGAGCCTACTCAAGCCAAAGATCTCTTGGAAAAGATTGCAATGAATGACTCAACTTGGTATTCGGAGAGATTTTCTCAAAGACTTATAGGAGGCATGCATGATGTAGAACAAATATCAGCCTTGTCAGTTAAGGTGGACAATGTGGCTACTATGGTGCAAAAGTTAGCTCAAATCACTCTTCAAAATCAAAATGTGAGCTATGCTTCTACCCCTTCAACTTTATCGAGACAAGTTTTGATATGTGATCTTTGTGGTGGAGGATACAATTCGGGAGAATGCCTTAATGATGAAACAAATGCTCAATCTTCTATGGAACATATTGATTTGGTGGGATACAATAGGCCACCACAATCCTTTCAACCTCAAGGGGCTTATAATCTTAATACCTCAAGGAATCATCCCGATTTTTCTTGGAGCAACCCATTGGGGGAAGCAAATCCTCAAAACTTTGGCAATAGAGGACCACCACCACCGGGATTTCAAGGGCAACAAAATTTTATAGGAGTCCCACCACAACAATATGGACACAACCAAGGATTTCAAGGTATTCCTTCTCAACCAAGGCCACCATTGCCTACTTTGGGAGCCCCACCTCCACCAAATTGGGAAGCTACGATGACATGATGCTCAAATCCTAAATGCAAAGTGAAGAGAGATACAAACAAATGGCCGAGAAATTAGATAAATTGAGTGCTCATAACAAGATGTTGGAGAGACAAATTGCCAACCAAGCCTCTACTTCTTGCACAAAAGTCACTGGGAAGTTGCCCGCTTGCCCCGAAAATCCAAGAGAGCATGTCGATGCCATTGTAACAAGAAGTGGCAAGAAACTTGAAGAACCACCTCTTCTGGTTGACAAGTCAAGGCCAAGTAAGATTATTGATGTGGAAATTGAAGAGAAACTTGAAGAAGAAGAATCTAGCCCTCCAGTTTAGAATCCAAATCAACAAGGTCATGAAAATGATGATAGATAGAAGCCTGGGAGGAGGTATGTACCACCACTACCATTCCCTCAAAAATTTCAAAGCAAGTCAAAGATAGTAGATGGAGTAAGTTTTTGGATGTGGTAAAAAATTTGGATGTCTCTATCCCTTTGCTTGATTTGCTCACTCAAGTGCCTTCTTATGGAAAGCTTTTAAGGGAGATTCTCTCCAAAAAGAGAAAATTTGGTGATCAAGAAATGATTGCAATGACAAAAGAGTACCAGGCCCGGACACATGAAGAAGAAAAGTTTCCTACCAAACATAGAGATCCGGGAAAATTCACAATCCCATGTGTTATTGGTGGCTCAACCATCAATAGATCACTTTGTGATCTAGGAGCAAGTGTTAATATAATGCCCCTATCTCTATGCAAGAAGCTAAATTTGGAGGAGCCACAACCGGTCCAATTCACACTTCAATTTGCCGACCCGTCAACAAAGAGCCCTATTGGAATTCTTGAAGATGTCCTAGTCCGTGTGAATAAGTATTTTGTGCCTTGTGATTTTGTTGTGATGGATATTAGAGAAGATCCAAACATTCCAATCATCTTGGGGAGACCTTTCTTAGCCACAACGGGAGCTATAATTTATGCAAGGAAAGGATCAAAGATTTTTAATTTTGGAGAAGAGAAAGCTGCATTCAATGTTCTTTGGTGAACCAAATTCTCATGTTGTTGGAAGGTGTTACATGGTTGATGAGATTGATAGCACAACTCTTGATGAACATCTTGATCCCCATTATGATATGACATTTGATGAGCATGAAATGTGGAAACGTTTAAGTGATTGAGATACTCATTTTGCACATATGGAAAAGGATCTCATGGTGGAGAAAATTGCAGAAAAATCTGAAATTTTATTTGGAAATAAAGCTTAAGTTATGAAAGACGAAATCAAAGAATGGGAGGTCTTGAGAAAAGAGTACATGTTGGCATTCAAGACTTGTGTGAAGCATTTCATCGAGGCTAGTGATGGTGATAGCCTCGCGGATAATCCAGGATGAACATTGCAGAAAGGGCTCAAGCTCATGACCTAAAACGAACGCTTTTTGTGAGGCAATCCAAGCCATTTTATTTTCCTTTACAATTGCATTTTTACTTTTGCTAGTTTATTTCGTTATTAGATTGTGAACTTTGAATTTGGGTGTTAAATCCTTAGTTTTGAAATTGCATGATGATAAATTGATTTTTGAAGAAAAAAAAAATCCTTGAGCCTTAGTTTTTTGTGTTTATATGGCTTTGGAGTGAAATTTTTGCTTGTTAAATGCTTGGGTTGATGTTTGGAGAAATTTTTGAATACTCTTGAGCTGAAAACAAAGAAAACAATTGCATTTTAGGTAGTCTCGACGCGTCCAAAATAATCCTCAATGCATCGAAAAATATTGAGGCTGGGAAAATTACATTCTGGAAACTTTCTCGATGCGTCGAGAAGCCCCAGCGAAAAGAATTTTGCGTACTGGAAGGACTCGACGCGTCGAGCATCCCTGGTCAACCTTTTACTGCTGCTTTAAAACATAATTTCTGCCCAGAATTTTCTCAACTCATCTCTCGAATCAGCAGCCCTAGCATTCCAAGGTTGAACATGGAAATGTGCGCAGGGATCATGTCATCTTGGCCTATTGCATCAAGGAGCATAAGACTATTGATGTGGGAGATATTATCAGCCGGAGCATTCATGAAACTGCACATACAAGCCATTGTACGCTCGCGTTGCTTTCTTGGTCAGTCTTCTCTCATCACAACACTTTATAGGTCTGCAGGAGTACCTATCAATGAAGATCAATAAATCAAGGTAAAGCCACAATTGTTACTCAACCAACACCACATTGAGACCCAGTATAGACAAGGTCAAATACCCATTCCCGATCCAGATGATGAACAAGATAGTGAAGATGAATTAGATATATAGGACTTAGATGAATTATTTTAATCATTTTTGGTATTTGATTGAATTTTTAGAGTTTGATTGCCTAATTGCTTTTTTAATTTCTTCAAAAGTTGGGTCTTTTGACACTTTAGCAAATATTTAATACTTTTCTATGGGTGAATAAACATTTGTATTCACTATACTTTTCAAAAAAAAAAAAAACCACATTTTAGAATGCATTCACAATTACATTTTTGTTAAAAAATAATACAAATTTCATATTTATTTCACGTGAGCCAGTTTTACACGTTTTTTCAAGCGATGTAATTTTAGCATGTAATTATATTCCTTCTTTTTTTTTTTTTTTTTTTTTTTTTTTAAACCAATTTTTTAGTAGTTACGCCAAATTTGATAATAAAGCCGTTCCATTAGTTTGAATAATATTTGTTTTTATAGTTAAAATAAAAGTCAATATGTAATCTGAAAATGATGTTACAATCAAGATTAATGTGATCAACGAAAATTTCGTAATTATTGTGAACAAGTAGGAATAGAAATAAGCCTGCGATGCCAGGCACCCACAAAATGGTAGCTCGCCATTGGCTTCACATGACGGCTTATACATTGCGTTTCGAGAAGGCGGATATACCATGAAGGTAGACTTGAATCTAAAATACACAATATACATATTGAATGTCCACAATTTATACATTTAATTTTTACAATTTACCTACTAAATGTTCACATTTTATCTTTTAATTTATAAAATCATGAACATTCACTATGTAAATTGTGAACAGTCAACATGTTAATTATGTATTTTAGACCCGAATTCATCTTGCAAGATAGATTCAATTTACCGAATAATTTGCCCGATCGGAACGAAAACAATAGTTATGTTGTGCATCCGTATGCACCATTGCAAAAACGACGTCGTTTTATTAAAACACGCATCCCGCTTAAAAAAAATCAGTTTCAATTCCCCTCAACAACATTATGTTGTTCATTCACTCTGGAATTTTAGTTCATAGATTCTGCAATTTTAGTTCATAGATTCTGCAATTTTAGTTCATAGATTCTGGAATTTTAATTCATTGATTCTGGATTTTTAGTTCATCGATTCTGGAATTTTAGTTCATAGATTCTGGAATTTTAGTTCATTCATTCTGGAATTTTTGTTCATAGATTTTGAAATTTTAGTTCATCGGTTCTGAAATTTTAGTTCATAGATTCTGGAATTTTAGTTCATCGATTCTGTAATTTTAATTCATTGATTCTGGATATATAGTTCAAATTATGCACAATATAATGTTGTTGCTGGGAATCGAAACTGATTTTTTTTTTTTAATTTTTAAGTAAGACGCGCGCGTTTTTAATAAAACGACGTCGGTTTTGCATCCGTATGCACCATGCATGATGCAACGGATGCACAACATAATTTGCCGAACAAAATAAAGTCTGCCTCGAATTGCGACGACGTGACGGCGTTTCTGCTCAGACATATATAATTTGTGATAATCTTCAATCCTCCGAAGTTCAAACAAATTGGGAATTTTTAAGCAACGCATATATGGATAACATTTGAAAAATAAATTTCAAAGTTGTATTTTAAAAATTTAAAATACAAAATTAAACATGATATTTCAAACTTTAATTTAGATGGAACAATTAATTTACAACTAATGAATGATAAATTATTAAAAATAAAATTAATAACAAAGAATATTAATAGAGTGTTATATTATAAATGATAAATAAGTAATGTAACATATTATTCTAAGAATACATAATTTTTTTTCTTTTACAAACTACTTATAATAATTACTTGCTCTTTCCATTTTATCATTTTTTGAAAGATCACTTTCCGGTGGTCGGAAATTTCATAATTTCCACTAGTGGATTCGCGACTTTTTTTTTGGAACTCAAAGTTCAAAAAAATAAGAAAATTCTACAAATAATATTAATTTTTTCGTATTTAAAACTTAAAAAGAAATTCATTTTTTAAATGTAATATATATATATATATATATATATATATATATATATATATATATATATATATATATATATATATATACTTAAAAGATTGCTATTCACAAAAGGATTTTATCAAAAGTATATATCAAACAATTAAAATCTTGAAGTATTTAATTCTTTTCATTTTTCTGCTCATTTTTTTTAGAAAATGAACCAAACACACATAGATAGTTTTACGTTGGGTAGCCAAACACCAGAAAGGAAAATGTTTTCTGGAAAATGATTCATTTTTCTGAAGTCATTTTCCTGGTTTCTAAACGGAGCCTAAGATTGGTTTTTATATTTGTCATATGGTACTGTTCTCACAGGATCCTCTGAGAGAGAGAGAGAGAGAGAGAGAGAGAGAGAGAGAGAGGTATCGTATGAGAAAACCTATGTAGGTGAGATTATGAGATCAAATCTTGTTCATCAATCTAATAAATTTTAATGGTCTAGATCAATTTAGATAAATCGCGTTCGCACACATTTAGTCACATTCGCACACACTTAATCTAGATCAATCTAGACCATTAAATTTATTAGATTGATGCACAAGATTTGATCTCACAATGTCACCTAGACCAATCTAGATCAATCGCATTTGCACTAACTTAATTGTGTTCGCACACATTTAATCGTGTTCGTAGACACTTAATCTAGACCATTCAAATTAAAATTAATTATATATATATATATATATATATATATATATATATATATATATATATATATATATTTATTTATTTATTTATTTATTGGGTATGTATCAGAATCATAACATTCTCCCAAAATGCTCTGTCGGATCGGAGTGTAGGGGACCCTTAGGGTTGGGGTCTCAGCCTTTTGGAAGAATCATAACATAGACGTACCACATGCACTAGTTTTGCTCTTCCAAAAAATTCTACTATGAAGAAGTTTCGTTGCAACTATATAGCACTGATCGTCTTTCTTTGGCTGCTAGTTACAATTTTTTTATGGATGGGAGGTAGCCATTAACAAAGAAACGGTCAACCAGGGGAATTTTAGTTTCTATCAATAATTATTGTCTCTGCCTAACCAAATTTCCAAATTCCTATATATCACAACAACAAATGCAGTGTATCACAAAAACATCGTAGAAATGACTTTTATTTAAGGGAAAACTGTAATTTATGTCTAACGGATATATTATGTGTTGGACAAAATAGCTTAAAATGATATAAAATGACATGCTAAGTGGCTATTTTGTGGTACAATTATTAGTGGGGTCCACTTCCAATTTGGGTCGGGTCAAAGTAAATTTGGGTTCTTCGTAATGAGACGAAGAGATTGATATATTGTAAGCTCAAAACGGATAATGGGTGAATGAGATATTGATTCTCAAAGTAGACTCATTTGAGTTGGAAAATGAAGGGAAAAAATGAAGCTTTTGTCCCACACTGGTTTGGGAAGAGGATTTGCCCCACTATTTATACAAGAGCTCTTTTAAAGTTTATTGAATTGTATAGCATAGAGGTTATTTTGCACTGGCGTGATTCAATTAAGCTTATTTTTACAACATAGAAAATCATATTTTCCAGCCTCAAAATACTCTATGCTAAACATTGGGTCGTAGCAAGTTTTATCCTGCTCAAACTTGTGTGAGGTAGCAAATAAGGTTTTAAGGAAAGAGTGATCGCTTCACTCTTGCTAAAAACCCTACACCAAATACGATCCTATCTCTTCATCTTTCCTTTCCTTTTTCTACAGAAAATAATAATCCTTAGTTTTGTGGGATTATTATTCGGTTTTACCAA